AATTAGTGTGGACAATAAAAAAAATTACCTAGTAGGTACTCATAATTTAATAAATTAATTTTACTAATAAGTACACACTATTGTAATTAAATATATTTCTAAACTTACCATTATAAACGCGCGATGTATATTATTAAAATGAAATCAATAACTAACAACACACAAGCTAGGTATTACAAAATAAATAAACAATATTAAAATAGTGAGTAAAATGCTCGAGCATGCGACTACACGTCTGGACTGCAAATGAGAAAAGGATCACTATAATTTAATTTTAACAATTTTGTTATCATTGGGTAAGACTAGAGGATAATATTATTGTTGTCTACAGAAATCCTCAACGGCATATTATCTAGAGTCTAGACGATGCCAAAAAATAGGAAAACCCAAATACATACAGCACGCAAGTAACAACACGTCAACCGCGCGATAAGAAATAACAATAGGTACAGTTGAAACACAATAATAATAGTATTTTAATGATCGGGTCACACGAAGCGTTATTGCCGCATGCATAGGGTTTTATTGAGGACGGTTTAGTTTTAAATATAACAGGATGTTATAAATACAACGAAGTGTTCTCGTATGTGGCGAGTTTCCACTGTGGCATCACAGCACACATTTATCAATAATGTAATGGAGTTGTACTGTTTTTATATTATAAAAAACATGATTATAGTTTTTACAATTGGTTATTGGCGAACTCGGACTTTTCGCCGCAGACCGTTTTACCGCAGTACCATTTCGCCGCAGACCATTTTGCCGCGAAGGGTTAACCTCCCCATTATGAAACATAAATTTCGATATATTCCTCAATTCAAATCAGATACATTTTATCACCTCTCCTACTGAAATTCACAGCATTAATTTCTGTTTGTGTATAAATGTGCAGCTCATAGACATGCGCACGGGGGTGAAGCCGAGCGTTTTCAGTGCTTGCACTCTGTTGGGCCGGAGGCAACACCCTAATAAGATTTTTTACAACCTGATAAGAACCTATTTTATTTTTTGTTAATACCATTAAACTCATATATGGTGCAAATAGGACATAAATTAGGGTAAAATTACCCTTAAAATATGTCATCATATAGTAGCTAATAGCATTGAGTATATATTGTTTACTCAATGCTTAATACTAAATACTAATAGGTAATATTGGGTATCCTTCTACATATTATAGTTTATATACCTATGTATTAATAAGTCATTGTTATCTATCAAAAATGTGTATTATTACTTATTTATGCCTAGAGTAACCACAGTTATGGTAACCAACTTGTATGTATATATAATAACTTTGTAAGAAGGCTGTTTGTATTGAGATAAAAATGTAATTGTTAGCGAGCGGTTTTTTTTTTAATTATGGGCTGGTCAAAACTTTTGCCCCTCCCCCCCCTTTCAAAACCTGAAATGACGCCACTGTATTAATCATTCAGCCATGCCTAATTATTTTGTTACCATAAAAAAATTATATTTACTAATATTTTCTTTAAAAAAAAATGTATGTCAATAATTTTTGACAATGTCCAACAATTTTAACACAGTTTACTGTGTACAACCGTTTATTTTTCCCATGCAGAAGGAGTGCTTAACATTTTCAAGTACCTACCTATCTCAATTGGTCATTGGAAATCACAAATTACATTAATATTATATTAATGTAGGTAAGTATATTATATTTATTACAAGTTATTAGTAAAAAAGTTTTTGTGACAAATGTACCGAGTTGCAAATTACAAAACCATGGTTGCAAATAGGTGCAAATCGGGGGCAACATTTTGGGGTCAGTTTTGTTCCGGTACGACCATTTGGGGGGGCTACGTGAAGTTGGCCCCCCCAGTAAAAAAATAAAAATTGTGTTGCAAGTATTGAGTTGCAAATTATGAAACCATCGTTGCAAATAGTTGCAAATCAGTTGCAAATTGTTTGCGTAATTTTTGTAATTATATGAAAACATGGGGGGGCCATCTTCACACACGTCCATTTCCGTAATGTACTAGGATGTGGGAGAACTTTATTAAAAGATAAACGTACATAATTATAAGCGGAAGGTGAATAGAAATTCAAGGTTAGAGCAAATGTTCGGAGTTCAGGGGATATTTTTTTTGATGATTTTATTTTTAATTGTTTCGTTAGGATCTCATTTTCAATATCAGGTAATGTTTCCTGAAATCAATAGTTATAATATAATGTGAGCTATATCATACAGTCGCCAAATCCACAAATATTTAACATAGCTTAATCTTTTGAAAAATAAGTAAAAAAGAAAAAAACAATCACAAACGTACCAAACTAGATTTTACTAACTATGTGTATAAAACTAACTAGCAGAAATATATTTATATTCATACCTAGTTTAGTTAGTAGTCACATAAGATAAATCTACAAATATGTTTAGTTGGACCCATTATCTTTTTGAAGAAAATAAAAGAAATATACACAATAATATTACAACTGATATATATGATTTAAACATTTATTAACATGCACATATACAATATTTTATATAGGTTGTTTTCAATTAAAAATGTTATGGATTAACACAGTCTTTTCTAATCATCAAGTCGTAATCGAGTTATAACAGTATTTCTATACTGAAGTATATTAAAAAAATATATCCAAAATTAAACTAAACATTGACTTTAATTTTATAAAATTAAAAAATAGTAATATCACATATAGGATTGCATCATTTCAAATTACTACAAAGGTCAAATGAAGAATTTTTGACATGGTGAAACTTGTAATAAGTACTATATAGCTACACAGAAAACATGAATATTTTTTCAATAAAATAATAAAAACCTGAAGATGAGAAAAACAATTTTGAGAGATGAGCTTCTTTTCTTCTTTTAAGTGTGTCATCAATTGTTTTATTGTACATATTTTTTTAAGTAAACGGCTCTTTTGTTTTTTCAGGGTCTTAATTTGTTTTCTCTTTTTAAATAACTTTTTTTTGGTAGCATTCAAAAATTTATTTTGTCGCTTTGGACTATTCAGATCTTCATTAGTAAAGTCCCCTATAAAACATTTTCTTTTTCTGAAAAATTAATAAAGAAACAAAAACTCTTTGTACTTATTCTCTACAAATGTTAACATATCTACTATACTTTCAAAAGACAGTATATTTTAAGTGATATTATTTGATAAATATAATAAATCTCAACTTATTATAATTCAAGCATATCTTGATTTAGTAAATAAAGAAAAATTAAAAAGAATTATTCACACTTGAACTTGATTTTTCAGGGGTTTGAGAGGATACAACATTAAATGCACAGTTTCCATCTAAAATCATAATTTTATAAATAACAACTGCTTAGGTAATTATTAAACACCTATTAAAATATATGTAGAAAAAAAATTTAAGTATAAAATAATATACTAGTGATTCAATCTATTTGTAACATTTATGTTCATTTAAATTTTACCATTAAAAGAATCATCAGGTTTATTGTAACTTATAATACATTTTAAATACTAATTTTATACTTCGTTGTTGAGTTCTGGAAGGTCTTTTGCAGAGCAGGAAGGTTGATCTATGTCATTATCTATCTCATTATCAAAACATTCCATCGAACCTATAAGTATTTAGAATCTAACAATAATAACTTATATTTATGTTAAAAATGTTTAAAATATTTACCAGATTCTTCATGGGTTTGGAAACATGGACTTGGAAATACAACAAATTCTTCCACATTATATATATGTGCTTTTTTAGGATCTGTAATTAATTGTATTTATTAGTTAGCATTTACTTTGACTATAATTTACTATTGAGTAAATATTATAACATTACATTGGTACATTACCAATTATATCATTAACCAATAATATACAAACTAAATTGTATACATTATTAAATTAATATAAAGCATAAGTGTGAACATACTTGTATTAAATAAACTTGGGACAGCATCTTTTTTTTAAATAAACCAAACTTTAACTATCAACCACATAATCAAGTACAAGTACACCAACGATTTCCACACCTAATACCTCAATCAAAACCAATTCCACAAGTCCTCTATCAACAACAACAACAACAGAAGCAACATTTTTTTATGTACCTATATTTAAATATTTTACGGTAAACATATACATGTATGAGCTCACTTTCAAATATTCTCCCCTCAAAACTTGATATATTGCCCAACAGGTTTCAGGAATTATCTTCCCAAGAGCCTGGGCTGAGACTGCACACGAATACTTGAGGTCCTCATAACTGCGTCCGGTAGATAAGAATCGTAATGTAGCAACTAATCGTTCCTCTGCAGAATGCTTTCACGCATAACAGTATTTTTCTTTTCAATATACGGTCTCACTAAGTTTAGAAGCTCAAAAAATGTATGGTTTTCCATCCGCAAGTAATTTTTATAGTCCAAAGACTCATTTGACCAATTCACGTAGTAAGTTCATGTGAGAATATTTTCGCCGTTTTAATAGCCACTGTTTTGACCATTTTCTCTTATTTTGGAAGTCATCATCACCATACGCACCTTATTGGTACGTAATGAACCAGGTAGACCGGAAGAAAAAAGTATTGCTGACATATTGTTATGCATATTATAGATGATGATGATGATGACTTCCAAAATAAGAGAAAATGGTCAAAACAGTGGCTATTAAAACGGCGAAAATATTCTCACATGAACTTACTACGTGAATTGGTCAAATGAGTCTTTGGACTATAAAAATTACTTGCGGATGGAAAATTTTTCTATTTTCAGCATTAAAAAATAAAAATAATTTTTTGTATATTATACATGTAGCTCAAGTGGCTATAAAGTATGTATATAAAAATTTTTTTTTAAATATTGATTAGAACCAAAGTTATTGCAATAGTCAGTTCTTTCTATTACACCCTGTATATTTATTTTTTAAAGTTTTAATTGATGGAATAGTTATTGTTGTATAAATAAATCACTTTTATTGAAAATTAATTTACATAGTTTTACAGGGGAAATAATGCAAATAAGTAGCTTTATACACAGGTTAAAAAAAGTAAAAAGGTTATTTTTTGAAAATTTATCCCTCTGTATACTGTAACCAAACATTAATTTTCTAGTATTTTATCAAATATAAATACTTATTGTAACTTATTATAAACATAAAATTGTAGTACTAAAGAGGTTGCTCACATTAAATTCCCGAACCCGGACATTTCGCCGCGACCGATTCGCCGCGACCGTTTCGCCGCAGACCATTTCGCCGCAGACCCTTTCGCCGCTGTACCATTTCGCCGCAGACCGTTTCGCCGCGGACTTTTTCGCCACCGGACATTTCGCCGCGGACTGTTTCGCCGCTGGACTTTTCGCCGCGACCGTTTCGGTAGTGATAAGCTTTTGAATGATAAGAGTGGTTATTGTACTATGGTATAACCATAGAACACTAGTGTTGATAGTTTACACTGTGACCAACTTTAGGTGGTGTTGCAAAGCAAGTCGAGGGATATTTTCGAATTGCGGAGCGGAGCGACGGCGCCGAGGAGCGTAGCGACGAGTGCCGCTAACGAGGCATCACTGTAAATTATTTCGTATTGGTGGTGTCACTGGATCTCTGGTATATTCTGGTACGAGTTGTGGTGGTATATTTAACCACGAAACGGTGGCAGCGAATCGGTGGCGGCGAAATGTCCGGCGGCGAAAAAGTCCGCGGCGAAACAGTCCGCGGCGAAAAAGTCCGCGGCGAAACGGTGCGCCGGCGAAAAGGTCTGCGGCGAAATGGTACAGCGGCGAAACGGTCTGCGGCGAAACGGTCGCGGCGAAATGTCCTAGACCCTTAAATTCCATAGCATCATCTAAACTAGATATACCCTTTCTGCCAACCTCATATTCCGCAGTAAAAGCCATTAAGTCAAAGTACCATAACGATGGTACATAAATATCATCAGCAGAAGAACCTGTACTTTTAGATAGCCGAACTTTGTTAAGTTCTCTTCTATACGCAGTGCGTAAATTATTTATTTTGCCCTTTACAAATGCCTCATCAGCCCCATTGCATTTACCTTGGCATAACTTTATCAAATCCTCAATACCTAGTTTCTTTAGGTGTTTGTTTTTAGACAAATCACTTTTAGTATTCCACAGGGCCGGATGACGCCGGTAGACTTCGTGGAATTCTGTTATAAATGATTTGTCTTGATCCATATTTTCAGTTCGCCGTTGGTATAGTTTGACGTAAAATAACAATATTAATGTAAAGTAATTCAGAACACAATATTAATAAGTAATTACTATTTACTATTTAGTTTTGAAAGTGCAGAACTTATAAGGGTAGAATATAGAACCTATAGTTATAAATAAATATAAATATTATAATATTGTGATAAGATAATCAGTACTGATAACAATGTTGTAAAGTTCAGTTTGTCAGACAGACCCACACACGCACGAATCACTCAGACAGTCGTCAAGTTGGTTTGATAAAACGTCCGACCGACGGTTCGATGGCAAACTGACAAGCACGTCCACACACGTAACGATTTGGTTTGTCAAACGCTGTTTGACGACAAGTTTAACGACAAATCGTTCCGTGTATGGGACCCTTAACGCACATTAAAAAAAAAAATAATGATCCTGTGGTGATTACGACGTGTTATCACCACTTACGCTGGCGCGTCCATAATTATTTTGTCGTTACCATTTTGTCATTCGTTCCTATCTTTGTATTGTTGTTGTTATGTTGTAAACGATTTATACTTATATTATTTTTATGTTCCTCGTATTATTCACTGTGTGAATTATTGTAAACTTTTTATTTGTATTATCTTTGATCGCCCCGCTACAATTTTGTCTCCCGCCTCGAGCATCGACTTTTGGCGTTACGGGCTCGAAGTCGCTCACGCTTTGCCGTACCGCTCACTCACTTTTACGCTCTCGAATCGACTCGAGCAGCCCCACGTCTCGGCTCTTACGACCGACGACCCGAGCGAACCGACCACGTTTAGTTATACTTATGTTTTCGACAATAAATTATTTAAACGACCACCGAACGTTTTGCTTGTTGTCTTTATTTTAAAACCTTTTGATCCAGGAGAACACGTAGTGTTCTGCCGGCGCCCGTGTCACGTTACGACCACCGTCGCATTTGGCAGCACCGGTAGACACCACAATCCTAATAACATCCTAATCCTACATGAATTATAGGACATGGAAGAGAGTCCTTCCCACCCCCGATACGGGTTATGGAGGGACCATTGTAAGTTGTCAATTTATACCACCATAAAATGCCAAGCTTATCACCTATATGTCATGAAAACACGATGTTCGCTAGCTAAATTAGCTTTTGGTAATGAAGCACAAGCAAATGAATTTTATATGCCTTTAATTCCTAGTCCGACAGAAAGTATAGTCTGATTCAAGAGTTTAATACAATTAATGCAAACAATAGTATGCACTGTGATTTGCTTGATGTTGATGTAGAGAGAAATATAATTTAAAATCAGATGAAAAACAAAGAAACTGAGGTAATTGAAAATGAAACATTAATGGAAGAATATAAAGAACAAATGGTAAGCCTAATGACAGATAATTTAAAAAAATTCCTAGCTCCATCATTACATGTTCTTTCCAAATGTGTCCAGAGGTTAAAAAATGTAAAATCTTTAACAGCATGGGAATCTTTTATTGCAACAGATGGAAGTTAAATTTTATTGAGACATAGGAGCCGAGGTACAAAAACTGTTCAACCAACTAAAATTTGCAGAAGAAGACCAGGTTAACAAGAGGAAGTAAACGATTGCCAGTTGGGCGATCAAAAAAAGAAACGAAAAAAAAAGGATTAAAGAGAAATAGAAACTTGCAACAAAATGTAAACAAAAATGTTCCAAATTCAAAATCGCATGGAAGTAATCACTAACTGTATGTGAATATTATAAATAATAAACAAATGCATTAATAAAATAGTTTTAACTCACATTCTGTATTTGTTTCTTAAAATGCAACAAATATTTTCTTATAAAATAAAAGAAAAGGAAGGTAATCACGACATTTTTATTTCATTTCTTAAGACAAAATTGTTAATTAATTCACAGTTAATTTTATTCAATTCTAAATAAAACAGTATTTAATAATTTTATATACTAATAAAAGTTTTCTTACAGTAAATACCTAAATGTTGTTCAATAAATAATTTATTTTGAAAAATATCATATTAAATTAAATGTTGAATGAATTGAATATTTGAATGTACCTATTATTAATCAACTAGGTACCTACACTATGTACAATTTAAATTAATGTATAGGTATTATATTATATGTATACCTTAAATAATTGATAGGTAAACAGAATAAATAAGTACTTATTGTAATATAGTTATTATGTATTATTGTATTATTGTGTATTATGAATAATAATAATTTAAATAATAATAATACTGATTAGTGGTAACAAAAAATATTTCGCGACATTTTCAAATCAACCAATCGTAGAGGATGATTTTAATACAGGTGCCGAGCTCATACATGGAATGCTTATATGCTACCCGGCGACCGCACCGCCACCACCGCCGACGGAAGATTTGGGTTACACACATTAAAAATATTACTAATGATCCTAATAACAGGGCCTGGACACTTATTCATATTATCAAAATCAATTCCGCCATTTTGAAGAAGGAAAACTATTATCATTTGACATTTGTTTTTGTTGTGATAAGATTCAAAATATTCTTCCGTTGACTGTAGTTATTACTTATTGTCCAGTCCTCAGTCATTGAGTCTTAACTGTTTCGACGTTGAACTTCATTTACCCACAATATTTGTTATTTGTTAATTTATTTACCAGTGTCTCAACAGGGTTTATGTTTGTGTCGTTAAAACGTGTGTGAACGGCAAAGTGAAAATCCAAACCAAGAATTGTAAATTACTTAAGTTTCCTAATGACATAACACTGTAAGTATATTGTGTATTTAACTTTTTGTAGCTAACACAAGGAAATCAACAACAAAAAAGTTTAACAAGTATAACATGTAACTAAAAAATATATATTCATCATTTTATAGTGTTCATGAATGGTTAAAAAATTGTGAAAGACTTGATCTTGGTTTCAAGTCATTGGAATACTTGCTGGCCAATGTACGTGTTTGTGGTAAGCATTTTGCACCAAAAATGTTTAGTAATACTGAACACACTCGACTGTTACCTAAAGCAGTACCTACCGAATTTGGTTAGTAAATATAATTTACCATCATAATATGGCATCAAATATTTAGTTATGGTCCACAAAATACTTATAATTATCAATTATGACTTAAAAATGTGTTAATTGATATTCACAAATTGTTACCAAATACAAATACATGCAATATTAATACATTGTATAAACTTTTCATCGACCTTTAATATTATTGTTTAACATACTTTAATTATTATATTGAATTTAAAGTACATAACCTAGATATACTCTTAGCTATATTATTAATTTTGATATAATATTTGTTTAGAATCGACCAAGGCTAAAGACCCAGAATCTTCACTAAATTTAGATGAGTTTGTGAAGAACTTCTGGAAAGGTCAACCAGTTCAAGTACACCTTTAAAATCCAACCAGCCAGTTGAAGAAAATACTATCAGCATACAATGTCTACCATCAAACACAAGTTCAACTTCTGAATTGAGTATGGTTTCAAGTTCTGCTTCAACTCAAACTTCACAGTTACTGTCTGTCAACACTTCCAGAAAACATCGTTTAAAAGTCAAAATGAAATACAAGTAACAATAATATTTTAACTATGTATAAAATGGTTTAAAATGTTTTAGTTCTATATTTTGTTTTTGTTTTAACTATTTTACTTCATCTTAACACAGAAAAACCAGGAATTGTTATACTTCACGTATTTTTTTTTCGTGGTTCGAAGTTGCTTTGAGGATATTATTAACTATACCAGGAGCTGAAAGAAGCTTCTCAAAATTAAAAATAATAAAAAATTATTTAAGAAATAGTTTATCACAAATAAAATTAAGTGGCTTAGCATTGATTGCTATAGAAAATGAAATTATAGATAGTTTAAATTTAGAAAACATTGTTGATACATTCGCGCAAAAAAAGCAAGAAAGAAAAGATTTTAATAATATTATATTTAGATGATAATTATTCTATTGTTACAAAACGTACATTAAATGTTATTTAGCTTATACTTCATACCTACTTTTATTTTTATGCAGTTGATAATATTTATATTTAGTTATTTTTTGTTTTATAATTAACAATGAACCCAGATTCCAGTTCTGCCAATAATTAAAACCAATTTAATATAATTTGAAACAATGTGTTAACGTTTATTTCTTTTTTAATGTTGTTGTCTTACAATACTGTACAAAATTGTACAAAATAAAATCATAATATGTGGTGTAATAAATACTTAAGAGGCCGTCACAGTAAAAGTAAAAAGAATCGTCCAATATCGCATGTCATATTAACAAGTTTTTTTAAACTTTTTATCCACTAATTATTTAACTAATAAATAAAAATATCGAAAATCGGGCTTCTTACGTTTCTAGATAAAATTCTCCTCTACAATTTTTATAATAGGTATTTTTACTGTAAACCGCTTCAATAAGCCGTATTATTTGAAGTACGAAACCATGTTTTACGGTCGATTTTTTTCTACTGTGACGGCCTCTTAATAGTAATATTATAGTTTAAACTTTCAGCCCACCTTAAAATACAAATAAAAATGATATTGTAACAATTATGTTTTTGTTGTCTCTTGTCCGAGGGTTTTGGTGGCTAGGGGGAGGGGGGAGGGGGGGGGAGAGAGGGCCTCGCTTTTATAAATTGCACAGGGTATCGCAAATCATAGCGCCTCCACTGAGTCAACGTGGGTAATAATATGACGGCATATGTTGGACTTAACCACATGTCATTTGATCACCGTTCCGGCGAATGGAAAACTTTTAAATTAAAGTTAACAAATAGTTTAATTGCTGGTGATGTTTCAAGTGACCTCAAAATGAAAGCCATTTTAATAACTGCGCTGAGTGACGAAACGTTGTCCTTACTCTCAAGTTTATGTGTGCCTTTGGACATTGAAGCAAAATCATTCAATAATCTAATCAAATTATTAGATGCACATTTCACGCCGGTAAAATCGTATTTTTCTGCCAGATATGAATTCTACAGAGCGGAGAAAAATCCTATGGAAACGGTTGCAGAATGGGCTGCTCGAGTACGCACCTTATCCATACCATATGGTTTTGGTACTGAACTAAATATTGTTTTAAAAGACATTTTCACTCTTGGTCTTGATAAACAATTTAAAGAACGATTATTCGAAGAAGATGCCACAAACAAAATTATCACTATGAATAAAATGATGGACATCGCTCTTGCTAAGGAAATGGCCAGTAAAAAT